TCAAGGATACTTGGACATGTGGCACCAGGAGCCGGGGATCGAACCAACCCCTTCCGATTAGGGGACGACCCGCTCTGTCTCTGTCGGATGTGGTTGAAAGCTCCAAAAAACTTGAGATTACACTTTGATTACAAAGATTTCACTTCTAACCACTTCAGTTCTGCGTGAGGTTGCCACAACAAAGGTTTCAGTGTTAATTCACAAACACAAAAGGCAGTTTTGTGTAGATTGTAACACACACACCCCTACCTTTCTGAATGGCGGCCACTCTCCTTCAGTGCCTTGGTTCATGTTATCATTGGGGTCAGCGTCTGTGTGGAACACTCCAGCTGTGCCCAACTTATACATGGGATACAGACAGACTCCTGATGCATCCCAGAAACGCACCGTCCCATCCTCGTGCCTGCACACACACACATAAACAGGATGTTGTTAAATCTGCCCAGAAATGTTTGGATGGATGATTCCAAATTTCAAATAAACTGACCCTGTGAGCAGCAGGTCTCTCTGTGGAGGATCTGGGGCCATGTTCTGGCCTCCTGTTATTGGCCACGGCTGCACGGAGAGAGGGGAAATGAAAGTTTAACAATAATACCAACTTAATGCCATTCTGTTAAACCAGAAATGAAGGAATGTCCATATTCAGGGTACAACATACCATATATGATGAACAGCTTTAGAGTCACATACAAGACTCTCAGCAGGTGCCATTATACTGCTAACTAACATGTATATAATTTTTGAGGCTACGAATCAACCTTTACAAGTATGTTAAAACACATGAGAATTAAAAAAAAAATTATTGTAGCAGCAGACCACTATTTGCTATGTAAAAATATAATGGAGTCAGAGCAGAGATTGAGGTCCCTTTGCTGGTATTGTTATCACAGCTTCTCTGTGCTTTGTTGGTGATTGCTGAAAGAGTGGAAAGACTAACAAAGACTGTTTTGGGGAGGTCAATTTTGTTTCTGTCCTGTTTGAATAAAGATAAGATCATATGTGAGGTAAAATTGCCATTTTTGTCAATTGAATCTGGTGGGCTGTATTGCCCATTGTTTTGCTCTCAGATGCTGGTGCTCTAGTGCAATATTCAGTGGTAAGTGAATTGCAGGGTCCGGTTAAAAAAAAAAAGGAATGAATAGTGTTTGAAAGACATTTTGAGGAGAAAAGACGGTTGGTGTTCTCACAGAGATGGCAGGAAATATATATTACTACATTTTCTTCAGTCATAAGTTAATGAAGCTAGAAATGTTTTAACCTTTGAGGAAAGTAATTACAACATATGGACCAAATAAATTAGACTACAGACTACCTTGACTCCTGCTTATGAATCATTATTAGTTTGCCCACTTTTCATCAGCATCTTCCTTCCCACTGATGTGGGAGGTCAATGTGATAAATGCAAACCAGCCATGAACACTTAAGAACGTTTGCTACCTTTTTGGAGTAGTGTGTCTTCTGCAGGTCTCCAGCAGCGATGACCCTCTCCCACAGTTTGAGGGGGATAGCGGAGACGTGGTGGGAGCAGGTGATGGCTGAGCTGTGGAGGGGGACCAGGTACGGTGTCTGAATGACAGGCCAGCCCTCCGTTTGCAGGTCAATCACTACCAGCTCCTCCTCTACCAGGACCACCAGTGCACTGGGATCTCCTGCAGAAGGTAAGGACAGCGATAACAGTAGTTAGATACACTGTGTGCACTGATCTGGGATAGGCTGGTCTTACTTTTCTAGGCTTTTCAGTGTCTGAAAAAATTTGAAAAGGACACACTCAAACAAAGACAAATGATATAAACTACTTCTTTGAAAGCAAAACCAAGAGTCGGCACGTCTTCAGGCTGTTTACCCCCTCCCCAGGACAACAGTGGGAATTCACAATGAGTATATTTACAGACACAAGAAACCAGGTTACTGGAAGAAATCAGGTTACAGCAGGAAGACGCACAGTTTACATGGCAGTAATGAATCCTGTACCATTTGCCATCAGGCATGTATTCTTACACCGCTGTCAAAAGCTTTCAAACTGACTTTGAGTATCTGAAGAACATAAAACATTTCCAGCCATTTATGGATGGTAAATGGTAATGGTAAATGGACCTGTACTTGTATAGCACCTTTCTAGTCTTCCGACCCACTCAAAGCGCTTTTACACCTACGTGCCACATTCACTCTTTCACACACATTCACTCAGTGATGGCAAAGTCCATCGAACAGAAACTAACTCGTTCATACACACTCACACACAGTATCAGTATCTTGCTCAAGGATACTTCCGACATGTGGCGGGAGGAGCCGGGATCGAACCAACAACCTTCCGATTGGGACGACCCGCTCTGCCTCTGAGCCACAGCCTCAGCAGTTTGAGGGGGTTCAGTACAATCAGGCGATTGGTTGTTATTTCTGGCAGGTCAGAAGGTCTAATTTCCCTCAGGGCTGCTGGAGTAGTATTTTACATGTTATGGCTAAAACGGTAGTCTTGATCAGACTTGTCATATAAAACGATCATACGGCCATCTGTAGTTCCATATTTAAATTTTTTCACGACACAACCAGTCTGTTTTTTGGGGGGTTTTAAAAAATATATTTTTGGGGTTTT